TCCAGGGCTGCTTAGGACTGGCGCCAAATTTCTTCGCGCTCATCTCCGGCTTATTGTTGGCATCCTCCTTCTGTGCCGAAGCAACGTCTGGCCCTGGCAGAGCTTTTCGTTCAATGTGCCAAGCTAACCCTTAGAGAAGGAAGAGTGAGAGATTTCCCAGAGGCTCAGGTCCTTGAAACTCGTCTTGATGCGCAAAAGCTCGTGACTGACAGAGTGCCCTCTCGCGAGGCAGCCTCCATGCGATCAGCGCGGCTCCACAAGAAAAGGGTCGAGGCTGTGAGTTGGGGCTTGTAGGTCACGAGATGTCTGTGGCACAAGATCTGAGCATCTGAGACCTTTCATGAAACTCACAAGCAAAATTCATATGAAACCCTACAAAACCCTGAAAAACGCCAAGCATCCCCTCGATGAACAGGTGGCCCTGCTCGTCGGCCAGCGCTGGCGGACTCGGGCCTACGTGAGGACCCTGCCGGCAGGGTACCACTCAGTGGTGGTTAGGGAGCACTTCTCAGCCCCTCACTGGCTTATCAGCGGGAAGACAGCCTATCATCGGCACGCCGACAAATCACATGCATCCCAAGGCAAAGCTCCATGCAATTCAAGGCATTTTAACGCCAAGCTTTAAGCAGCGAGATTCAACAATGTCTACGCAAGTCGAGGCACCCAAAGAAGGCAAAGGTCTGGGTAAATCGATGTGGCTCAATGCAAGCAACAGTGAGGCCTGAAGTGGCGAATCTGCCAATACTCTGTCGTTGTCGTCGTCGTCGTCGTAGTAGTAGGAGGAGGAGGAGGAGTAGTAGAGTAGTAGGAGTAGGAGTAGGAGTAGGAGTAGGAGTAGGAGTAGGAGTAGGAGTAGGAGTAGGAGTAGGAGTAGGAGTAGGAGTAGGAGTAGGAGTAGGAGTAGGAGTAGGAGTAGGAGTAGGAGTAGGAGTAGGAGCAGGAGCAGGAGCAGGAGGAGGAGGAGGAGGAGTAGGAGTAGGAGTAGGAGTCGCCTCTTCAGTCTCACATGTCATGACACGAATAACCTAGTCATGAATACCAGTTTTAAAGAAGCGCGACGCGAAGCACAAGAAACTAAGTATCATTTGAAACAGCGGACTTCGGACTACAATTTTTCACTTGCTCACATGGCGAGTCTCCAGCTAGTACTGCAAGCCCTATCGGCAGGGCCACTGCGCGACAGGGTTTTGGACAAAGTCCCGAGCCGCCTGGCAAGCACCGACCGACTCTGATATAGGTTTTAGGGTGTAGGGGTTGGGCTGTTGCGGTGGCGGTTTGGGATTTGAGGGGCTGTTAATAGCAGTCTAAGTGGAAGCTTTCAGGTTCTTTATCCCAAACCACTTGGGCTGTGGGGGCTTTGAGGAGTCCTTCGGGCTCCATAGGGGCATGTTGGACCCTAGGTTTAGGCTCAAAGCTGCCAGTTGCCCAAGGCCTCAGACTTTCTAGCTTCGAAGCAAATGGATAAGGATGGTAGCGATTAGACCCGGACACTCAGCCCATCTCAGCCCATTTAAGCCCACGATCAAGCCCACTAAGCCCTGACCCGCCCTAGTCACAAAAGTCCCCCGACCCATGGGAAGCCCGGCCATGGATCAGGGCATCTTCGCCCGGCTTCAGGTGGGGCACCTGCCCTTTGAAAGGAATTGGCAGCACCTGCCTGGGCAGCCGACCCATTTCTTCTTGGAGGCCAAATCGAGTGTAAAGCTTGGGGTTGCCTGTGTTCTGGCATGCATTGGGTTCTAATCGGGTTGACGGGGTTCTTCAAGACGGCGGGACTGGGTGACTTTAAGGTTTCACAGTTTCACCCGGGCCTTGCCGAATTCGGGGGAACATCTCAAGACTTGGCTGAACTTTGTCTGCAGTCTGAGCGTCTCTGAAGGTGGGCGCAAACAACGAGGGGCTGGATCGGGAGGACCTCGAACCACTCCTGCAGGATGGTGCGGGTGGCTTCCTCGTCAGCTTCGAGCCGCTCTTGGATAAGTATCTTAGTGTCATTACCAGTGTAAAGAATGTTGAGGCTGTGTGTGTGGTTTGTCTGGTTTAAGACGAGATCGTAGCTGTGGTTCCTTCGCCTGGCCTTTCAACCAGGTATGGCCACCTTGTGTCTTTCGCAAGCCGAGATCAGTTCTTTGTGAACCTGGGGCTCCAGCATCGCAGGGCCTTGGCTTTGCCCTACGCGGTGGACGGCTGCAAGACTGGCCAGGCGGTGTTTCACATCACGCCCACGGACGGCTGCAGCAGCTTGCTAGCGCCAAGCTCAGATTTCCAGAGCCGGAACCAGAAGCAATCTGCACAAACCCAGGGCATTTCTTGGCCGAAGTGGGTCGAGGAATCGTGCTCGGTTTTGAGGGAGCGACGGGTGGTGCCCTGCGTGCCACTTCGCACCGTCATCGGCGACTGGTTGGGAGGCCTCCCCGTTGCACGTGTGAAGGTGGATGCGCAGGGCATGGACCTACATGTTGTGCAATCTGCAGGGCCTTTGGTGACCCAGCTTCGGTACGTGATGCTGGAGGTGCAGAGTCCTCTGGCAGCGCCGCTATATGAGGGACAGTTGTTTTGCCCTGAGATTGTGTCATCGATGCGGATGTTGGGGTTTGTGCTTGCAGATTCAACCCGGCCAATGAGATCAGTATGCAATTCAACAAGCTTCGCGGAGCAGGATGTCCACTTCATTCGGCAAGAGCTGCGCCCTTCCTGGCGGACGTTCTACAAGGATTACGAGTTTTGCCAGCACTTCGCGGCTGCAGGCGACTGCGGTGGGCCGTACTGCATTGCCCCCAGACTTGATGCGCTGGTGAACCGTACGGGAGGTTGCGAGGGGCAGGTCATGGATCGCATCGAATTCGGTCCTGAGGCAACAGGAATGGTGCTGCTGCGCGTCTCAGAAGGATGTGGCAATCATGTCGACTTGCAGCTGCATCCGTCCACGGTTGAACCAGAAAAGCACTCACTGACGCTCATCATTCATCAAGGCTCTGTTGGACGTCGAGAGTGCCCCGTGCAAGTGGTCAAGATGGCGATCATGAACTTCACAGGGGAAGGTCCCTCACCAAGGCAAAGAAGAGCCACGGATCCATACCTGCACATGTTGCGCTTCCGCATTGGACGCGGGGACGACCGGGAGTTTTACGATCGGGTGGTCCTGCTGCCAGGCATCCTGGCACTATTACTACAGCTTCGAAAAGGTTGTAGCAGCTGTGTTAAAGACAGCTTTGCATAGGTTCGTGATTTTGCAGTTGTCTGTCGTTGCGGCGCTCCCTTTTGCCAGGCATCCTAGCTCTGCAGGGCCCGGCAGGACAAACCGACCTGTCCAAGCTCTTGCGCAGTGCGCACTTCGCCAATGTCCCCGCTGCTTTCTGGCCGGACTCCTGCAAGGCCATGCGCTCCTCGGCCCTGTCGGTCTCTGACTTTTATGAGCTCCCACACCAGCTTGGCGACGTCTGCTTCCTTACGAGGCGTGCGACCTCCAGTTTCAAACAGCCCTAGCCGCATCTGGCCACTAGCCACTCCGCAGGGTTTTCCTACTTCGTGGTTCCTACGTGGCCGGCATTAGAGTGTTTTGGACAGCAGCTCCGGGCCGGGCGTGAATCCAGGGCCCAGGGCTCTGGCTCGAGAGGAATGAGAAGACGTAGAGCCCGTGAAATCCCTGGAGTGTCCCTACAGAGTCCGTAAAGTCCGTAGAGGCATCGGCAGAGCTCCAGGAATGGTGAGCGTGAAGATCCGCCGCAGTCCAATGATGTCCCGAGCCACCAAATGTTTGTGGAAGTTCAGTCCAGGATCGGCTGGAAGTTGGAAACATCATGTTTTCAGAGAGAGTGCAGGTCGTGCGCATGGGTTGCTTCGCTTCTGAGGGAGATGTGCGAGATATGCACTGGCCGGGAACATTGTTTCACCCGTCCACAAGAAATCTGCCGCAGTAGAAAAAGTGCAGAAGACGTCGCTCTTGTGAGTGAAATGCCCAAGCCGTTGAATTTGGATCTAAATAGCTACTTGGGGCCTCCGCAGAAACCCCCCCCTCCCCTCCCACAGAGTTCGGACAGAACCCAAGCGACTCCTTCGGGTTAAGGACGGAAGCATTGCAGCCGCGCCCCGTTTCCTGGTTAACGTCGCATCTGGGCATGCTTCAGACCAGTTACGTTGCATTGCACGCCTCTGTGCAAACCGTTTTGTTCCTTGACCCAGCTCCTGTACTCAATAGCACAACATGTTGTAGTTGGAATGATCTGAATCTGCTGTCGATCCTCTGTCCAGTCCCTTCTTCGTTCCTCCCCGTTCTCCATTCCTCCATCTCCTCCCTTTCCCTTCCCTTATCTTCCCTTCCTTGCCTGCCCTCCCTGTCCCCATCTCTCCTTCCCATCTCTCTTCCATTTCTTTGCCATTCCATTCCGTTTTCCATTCCATTTTCTTTGCTCCCCCCCTTTTCGCTGTTTTCCCCCTTTTTTGCAGCTTCACCTCTTCATTCGACCAGGGACCAGGTCTGAAGGCTGAAGTTTTCGTAAACCGGGGACAATGGGCCTCTTTGCCTTTAAAGTGCCTGAGAGCCAGGTTGGACGAGACCTTGCCTAGCCCGATTTCAGATCGCTGGGGCGGTGAGTTCAGCTGAGTGTCTGAGTTTTTGAGCATTCGTTTAGGGTGTTACGACCCTGCCTCCTGGGGAGCGCAGCAGCCAGAGTCTATCGCAACTGTAGACTTGAGCCTATGCATGTGTCCGCGCGAGAAGGTATGTTCACATGAAATCCAGGGGCCTGCCGCGAATGTGTTGTGGCCTTGCCAAAGTCGCAAGCTTCTTAGCCATGGCGCCATGGTCGCCACGGGCGACATTTGTGGTCGCTGGTGCCAAATGTACAAAGACTGAGGACTTGGACCAAAGGTGTCCAGCGTTTTATTTCTCGAACACAAAGCACAGCCCCAAAGACACTCGATCCTAAATCCGAACATGCTGTCCACAGCTCACGTGGAGCCTGTGTGGTTGTGTGTACTCACTGGCCTCGGCTTGGGAGGCCTGCTCTATGGTTCTGGGTCCATTTCTGCCCGGGGCCCGGGCCACCTTCCGTGCTAGCTGTCAGCAGCCCTGAACTCAACAGTACAGCAAAGCCGCAACTTTCCTGCCCAGACCTTCGCAACGCAACTCAGTCAAGTTCCTGGCGGGCGCCTCAACATGAACTGACACGAGATGGAGCTGCCGTCGAGGCGAATTAAACTAGCCTTCGGGGGCCTTTGACTCGCAGAAAGTTCTGCAGATTGGGTGCCGGCGCTTCCGGCTCCTCCTCCCATTGTCAACGTGCAGCCCAGGCTGGGATTGAGAAATGTTCTTGTTACCGTGCACTCTGAGGAGGTGGCAGAAGGCAAGCTCTCTTGTGGCAGGTTTGCCATGCCTGCAAACCCATTCCTGAGCCAGTCCCTACCCTGATGGCCCAAGGTCCCAAGCGGGCCCTTGGGCATTAGAGTCCTGAAGGGCGAATCCTTGCAGCGCTTTGCAAGCTTTACACATCTCATCCGGACACCTCCGTTTCTCGCCCACAGAACTCAAAGGATCCGCCCTTTCGGGTTTTTCACATAGGGCTTCGGTAGGCTAATGTCGGCCACTCAGGTTCCAGGCTCTGCAGTTGGTGAGACTTGGTGCTCTGCGGAAGATGAAAGTTGCGAGTCCTTTCAGGAACCTGGGAGGCACTCGAGACGCAGAGGATGTAGACTTTAGAGTCTTTAGAGTTTGAACGAGTCCTCGACGAGTTGATTGATTGTCTCACCGCTAATGACAGGATCAATTGACTGCCGGGCCGGTGATGGCGCAGTCTCTTCGATTCGCTTTTACAAAAGACAAAAGTTGGACCGCAAGAAGGCACGGCTGCAGATCAGCGAAGCTCAAGCTAGACACTCAATCACGTTGCAGCGACAAGAATGCAAGGCCGTGGCTCTGATGTGACAGCCGTGGATACGGTAACTACGGACATTGGCATCACCCAACTCATGCCCAAGGGCCCAAGGAGTTGAGGACACCCGAGGTGCTTCACTTCAAGTAGCGGAGCTCGAAAGAAGAGCCCTACAAGCTTTATATCCTCTTCGACATGCTCCTCCCTGTAGAGCCTCTGCACTTCAAGCCTCAAACTGACCCAAACCCCTTACTTCAAGGCTTCTCAAGACTTATAGTTATGGTTGGTTTGGGACATTTCGGGATTGGAAGCCGGAACAAAGGGACGATGGCCGGGCACGAGTGGCGAACTCAGACCGGAGCGGCTGAAGCTGTTGGGTGTCCCAACTCATCCAATAGCCTCGGATCTGCTTTTGCACAAAACCCCCCGAAGCTGCACTTTCCAAACCACTTCGCCCGTGACCACGGCCCGTGACCAGGTGCTGGCATGGTGGCCGCGTGCGTTCAGGCCCTTCACCCCCTGCCTGGAGCCTTTTGGAGTCCGGCATTGGGGTCTCTGATGCAAATAACTCAGCAAAGGCTGCCTCCTTTGTCCGTTCTTCGTCGGCCTTACACACGCAACGGCGTCGCTTTGAACACCGTACCCCTTACCATGCTTTTGAACAGCAGCTGCACCCTAAGAGCGGAAGCTAGACTCAACTAGACCGGCAAAGCCTAGCACCTAAGATGAACCGCTTCTGGCAAGTACTGCAGCAAGACGACACTTCTTGCCTCTTGTCGGAGCCGTCAGCTTGTCACACGCTTGCGTTGCCGTGTCCTCTGTCCACATTCTCATTCCAGATGCACGCGCCATCACGGACTGCACCGAAGCCGTTCAGCATGAAGACACATGGAGATCATGGAGACCAGGAACTCAGGAACCTCAAGAAACACTGCAGCCCACATCGATCTGCACACCCCCATGGCATGTGCCCACTCTTCCATCCATACTCCCCAAAAGTGGATCCAGCTTTAACACCAGAAGGGTTGTGCTAGCCATGGCGATGGATGTGGCACCTTCCTCGTCATCTGAGCCGCTCTCCCCTTTCTTGGCGACTGTGGCGGTCATGACGCGCAGCCGCACAGGGTCGTGCGTTCCCATCACCCCATGCTTCGAAGACGCCTTTATTTTGCGTGCTTGAGAAGCAGAAGTAGTTTGATTCGATCGCCGAATCTCGAGCTAAGGAAGGCCATCATTGGCTTATGCTGCCTCACGCTTCCTGCTGCCTTTGCCGAAGTCGGTCTGACTCTGGCTCTTGTTGGGCCGCTCGGCATGAGTGGGTGCAGAGATGCAAAAAAAGATTCCGGCACTTGGTTCCCGTCTTTCACCCCTAAAGGCCCTGAAGAACACCATAGAACACCCCTGGTGGCACATGAGGATCGTCCTGGTCTGTGTGGCGCTGGGTCCCGCTCTCAGCTGCGCCATTGTCCGGAAGCCCATGTTGGAAGCCCTGGGTGGCTTGGGGGGGTGGAAACTTCAAAGACACCTCAGGTACGGGAACATACCGTGTGGCGCAGTGCTACGTTCAGATTCGCCATTCAAAGGACAAGGCAGAGTGGCCCCTTTTCAGCTTGGTCCCTCCCAAACAAACCCTATGCAAGCCCATCCTCATCCAAAGCACTAAGCCCATACTAAGCCCTTGCACTGTCCTGCACCCTGACCATGTTCTACGTCGGCAAGGTGGCGCTTCATGGCCTAGGCCCGCTTGGAGACATCTCCGAAGAGGTGCCGCCCTCTGAAGGGCTTCTGGAAGTTTCGGGGGGGGGGGGGGGTCTTTCTTGAACTTAGGCGGTTTTGCGCTGCAGGTCTTCGGACTAACTGGCGTCCGGTGCTGCTATGTGGCCATACTCGCCTCGCAGTTCGGAATTGCTGTGGTGCCCTGGTTGCATTGGGGAATGGGAGTAAGACGCCTCTCTCATCATACTCGGAAACCAAGGCCTATGTCGATGTTATCGTCCCCACCGTCATGAAATTGATGGGCCTCTCAAAGCTGGCTGTCCAGCTGTGGATGTGTCCTCGCAGAATACCTCATTGCATGGCCCAGTTCAAAGCTTCATCTGCGATCGAGAGTCACTGAGTCAGATCCAAGGTTCGGACTCTCCGGCGCGATGAGCTTTATCAAGGAGCTGAGTCTCGGCCGACATCTGCTGGAAAGAGCTTCTTCCACCGTACGTATAGCAACACTCTTCCCTTTTGAGCTGTCTCAATGTATCACCGTCCGCACGTCTGGGTTGGGTGCGATCGCTTCGATCGATGTCGTCGAGCGGTTCGCCGATCGATTCGCTGAAGAGAGGCTCTGAAGGAAGGCCAAGGCTTCGTGGGCGACCCGCTCCATCTGCCCAGCACTGCAGGGCCACGAAAGAATGCCCCCCCCCACACACCTGGAAGTGGGCCCTTCCTGGGACGCTTCGACAGATCTGCAATGGCTTGGGGTTTTGCTTGATCCTTTAGGGTAGAATCTACCCTAAAAGATCAAGCAAAACCCCAAGTAGAATTCGCGGATCGTCTCTCGCGTCTGGGATGCCTTGTGTAGCGTTGACCAGGGGTGTAGAATGCGAGGCCGCCAGAGAGGTAGATTTGGGATTTGGTGTTAGCGTTTCTTAGCCCTAGCCCCCGAGCCTTTAATTCCCAATGGCCCAAAGCTCTACACCCCTGAATGCCGTAAGTCTGGCCACAAGCCACGCGCCCTATGAGTTCGGCTAATTTGTTTTAAACTCCCAGGCAGGGCCTTGCCTGGCTGTCCATCGTTGCTCTCTCGGAGACTTGGCAGAAAAGGTTCACGAGGAGGACACGTCTTTTAAGATCGGTGTTGCCGAATTTCAGGCCTTCATGTACATCGCCTTTGCCCTTCTTCATTTTGGCATTGCTGGGCTCCCGGCGTTTTGCTCATGAAAGCTGCTAGTCCAGCAGCTCCTGCACCTCCCTACCCATTTAGGTACTTAGTACGCGGACGCTATGTTCAGTTGCTGCGCTGTTTTGGAACGCCACAGGAAGCCAGCAAGTTGATCGCCCTGCCCCCTAAACCAACGGAGCATTGAGGATCTCGCATTGAGCGGAAATATGCCAAAGTTCCGCTCCCAGGTAGAGATCCGTGCTGGCCGGGACAGTTTTGAGGACTCCTGGCTGCCGCTGCGATTCGCAGGACTGTATGCGCTGTCGAAATTGCCGGAGCTGGGAGGAAACCCCAAGCCTTGGATCTTGATCGGATCCTAAGCCCCAAGAGCCTAAGCCCGGACACCATTGGACACCCTGCATTGCATTTCGCACCGGTGCGCTGGATGCAGAATTCCAAAGAAGCGTGTTGTAAGTTCTAGCTTTAACCAATCCCAGGCCCTAGACCAGCTGAACCCTCCCACATAACCCCCGCAAAAGCGGCAAAACAATCCATAAACTGCCCCAAGGGCCCCAAAGCGCTCTCTGCAAACCAGGCCTGGGCGCCTTTCTGGGCCCCACCATATCTGCTTTCGAGGGCGCCGCTGGGTGGCTGTTGGAGGATCATGAGTCATGTATGTCCTTGCGTAAGCATGCACCGGATTATTGTTTGGATGGTTCGGCTGTGCAGCTCTTGGTGGTTTTGGAGTCTAGATCTGGAATCCCCAAGACGGGGCAATCCGAATATCTGAGCTTCTTCAAAACAGAAAGTCGTAGAAACCGAGGTTGTGGTGGCGCAATATGCCTTTGCGGATATGCGAGTGGAGGACCCGACCCCATTCAGAAGGCGCAGCCACACCCAATCGATACGTAAGCGCTTCCAAGCAGCTTTTGGTCATTGTCATGTGCCCACTCGGAGATGCGTCTCAAGCTGCATGTCCGCCGTCGTCGTGGTCCCCTCCTCGCCATCATCCTCACCTTCAGTCTCGCCTCCTCCTCATCCTCATCATGAAGAAGAAGATGATGATGATGCGACGCCGACGACGTGATGAGAATGATGAGACTGATGATGATGATGGTGATGATGGCGATGATGGCGGTGTCAATGACGAAGATGAAGATGAAGATGAATATGATGATGATGATGATGATGATGATGGTTGGTTCTGACGATCAGCATCGTCGTCGTCGCCGTCGCTGGCTTCCCTTTGCATGTGACAAGAGACAGAGACGACGGACCCTTTTGCCCTCGTAACATTACTCTGGCTGATGTTGTCTTACATGCCATCGTCCGATGTAGCCCCTGACAGGGTCGTGGTGGTCAGCCACGCCTTTGCTCTTGTTTTGTTTGCCTTCATAGGCGGGGCCGCGCGTGGCTGCATATGAAACCTACAAGAAGCCAATGGATGCTTGAGGCTGCTTTGGTTTGGGTGTTTATGGCGGCGATGTGTCTGAGCTTATCTACGAAAGCTTCCCTGCGCACTCCATCGATGCCGCCCAGATGCATCATGGTAGGTCGTGGTGCTGCCTTTGCAGCACCTCTTTTTGACTTTTGGCTTCCGGGTTTGTCGCCCTCAATCTTTCCCGCCATCATTCAGGGAAACGGAGGTTGAGCAGACCGAGCAGACCCCGAAATCCCTGAAATCTGTCCCACAGAACGATGTCAGAAATCCACAAAGCCCTGAGTCCCAAACAGTTTGGGACGGTCAGGGTTGCCACGGTTCGGTTCGGCTCGGTTTGTGAGAGCCGAACCTTAGTTATGCTCGGTTCGGTTCCAGTCCGGTTCGGTTCGCACGGTTCGGTTCGCACGGTTCGGTTCGCACGGTTCGGTTCGCACGGTTCGGTTCGCACGGTTCGGTGGTTCGGCGGTTCGGACGGTTCGCATTCAGTGTATGTCATGAGTCCCGCAGCTGTTCAGAGAGCTCCATGCCCCTAAATATCCCTAAATCAAGGGTACCCTAACTCATATGATACGAGCCGTCGTTTCGTTTGAGGTATGTTGTGCTCACCTGGCCCATGGGCTTGCCCGCAAACCCCAAACCCTAAACCCCAAACCCTAAACCCCAAACCCTAAACCGTGCAATCTGGCAGCTTTGTGGCTTGAATCCTACGAAAAGCATACTCCCCCACGGTCGGGGGGGAGGGGGGGGGGGCAGGGAGGCGCACGGGGGAGTGCACAATCTGGCAGCTTTGTTGCTTGCCCGCGGTCGGGGAGGGCGGCACGCGGGAGAGTACCCCCGTCTGGTGGTTTTGTGGCTTGAATCCTCCGAAAGTGTACTCCCTCCGCGGTCGGGGGGGGGAGGGGGGGGAGCAGGCAGGCGTGTGGGGTAACATGGCAGCTTTGTGACATTGTGGCTTGAATCCTCCCACACAATCCGGTAGGGAGGCACGCGGGGGAGCACACAATCTGGCAGCTTTGTGGCTTGAATCCTCCGAAAAGCGTACTCCCCCACTTGGGGGGGGGGACCACTGACTCACTCATTCACTCACTTACTCCACTCACTCCTTGGGTCCACTCCATTCCACTCCACTGGTTAGGCTTTAGAGAACCTTTTCCGGTTTGACTTTCTACGATTCGTACCCGGTTCGGTTGGTTCTGTATCGGTTCGGTTCCCGTAGTTCCGGTTCCCGGTTCGCGGTTCGGTTCCGCGGCTTTCCTCACATGCCTCAGGTCCAGCTCTGCAAAGTGACCGTGTGCATTGTGCAGATGATCAACTTCCAGGTTCAGATGTGCCTGCTCTCTCATCAGCTCGCTGGGGTGTGTCCGGTTTAGATAGGCTTAGGGCTTGGGAAGGAAGAAGGGCAAAGGTCACAGAGCCGTGGTGTTGGTAATGTTCCACCCTCTCTTTGCATGGTCTTGTCAGTAAGGTCCCTCAAACGTTTGGGGTGCGTCAAAACTGGCACACCTTCAAGAAATCAGTTGTCGGCTCCCTTGCAGGGCTTAGGAACTAGAGGGCCTGATATTGTGTGGGGCTGGGGGCGCGGGGTCCGCAAAAAACCGCAAAAAGGGGTGGCTATAGCTCCTGAGCCACTTCCTGCTTGACAAGGTACCCGATTTTCACGATGGGTGACACTGCTCTTCGAAGCTGGCTTCAGCCACAGGTGGAAGGTTCGAATCTGAGTGCCTTGACATGAGGAGCCATGTGGGTTCGGGTTTGGGATGAAACAAAAACGGTTGAGACTTTCAGTTGCCTGGCCGGGGCGGCAAGGTTCGGGCGAGGACAATCTGCGCGACCTCAATGAGGAGAATGACAAGGCACGGTCGTGTCGTTGTTCCTGCTTGTTAATCCAAGCCGCAGCCTTCTGACAGCTACGAAGAACTCCGCAGGCCCACAAGGAGCTCCTCGAGAAGCCACGTGGGGTCTCGCAGCCGAGCACCGACTTTACATTGCGGGCCCTCTCCGCGACCATGCGCTGGCGGCTGGGACCTGATTGGGGCTTTGCCTGTTCCATGACATGGGCTGAGGTCTGATACAAGAAATTGACGAATGTCCGGGTTCTGATGTCAGTGACTACGTCTACAATTAGAGATATGCACGTGACGCACGTGCATGCGCAACGCGTAACATTGCTGCGAGGCAACGTCGCAACTTCCAATTGAAAAAAAGGACAATGCCTTTCTCCTCAAATCACTACGTTGCGTGCCAAAAGCAAGCATGCGCTTTCAATGGTTTGATGTGGGTAGCTCTGCGTAAGTTTTGCGAGGGTACATGTTCAACTGGTCTAGCGATCTTGTTATGGTGAAGCGCAGGTGTCGATGTCGAGTCAGGAAATAGCAGTGAAAGCTGCCGTGGTAGCTATTCGGGGTGCTGATACGGGCACCTCCACCCCACAACAGGTGGGCCCTGCCCCAGGAACGCTCGATACTTGCTTTGATCCGATTCATTGGCAGGATTCTTCTCAACTGCCTTAAAGCTCCAACTCAAACACCGTAAACCCAAAACTGGCCCACAAATCCGACCTGTTCCGGGGACCGAGGTTGTTGATTGGCCTTGCGATCTTGATCGCTGCAGCTGTACCCTCTGTGAATGAGGTCCTGAGCCCGAGGCTCAGAGGGGGAGGCACATTTGTGGCCAAGTGCTTCTAGATGTAGACTTTGGGTTCGTATCATGGCTTGAATTTTGTAGGCGGCCTCTTGAAAGAGACTTATGACCTTCCAGCAATGCGCCGCTGGAAGGAAACCAGCCGCCTGAACCTGTCAAGGTAGCCCTAGGTAGCTCACTGAATCCAGAATCCAAGTGCAACACTCCGGCTCGAAAGGTGTCGGGCTTAGGGTTTTCTGCAGCGAGGTTATGTTGGTGGATATGTCTTTGCCTACGTCGCCTTGTTCTTGCCTGGGCTCGCCCACTGGACGCTGAACCTGAATTGGGCTGACGTTCTATCGGGGTATGTTACTGCATCAGGTATTATGATGCTTCACGCGCTGGTTTTCGCAGCTGGTAGGAGCGTCGGCTCGATCCATCAGACAGCATCCGCAGCAAAGGATGCTGAATTCAGGGAGCCTCTCCTGGATGGACACCGCAACAAATGCGACCTTTCTGCAATGACCATGGTCTACCCATCGACGGAAAACCAAATCCTCAACCCTCAACCTCAAACCCAAGCAAGTGACAAAGCCCAGCACCCCCTCAAATCATCCCAAACATCTGTCACCTCAGTGTGATCAGGCGATGCTCGTCTCCATGGGCTTGACGTCCGCGTTTCTCACAATGCTGGGCTGAGCAAAGCGAGCCTTCTGCAATGAAAAAGGAGGGAGCTCAAGGATGAGGGGCTTCAAAAGTTAAAAGGGTGAACCGCCCCATACGCTTGCGATCCTAGCCGCCCCAACGCGAAAGCTGAACGGCTCCGGCCGCTCGATTTGCTCCAGGGTCTGAACTTGGCCGGGTCCCTGCGCCTTTTTCACTGGGGTGTCGAAGAGTACCACTTTGTGTTTCAAGGATCGGAACATCTGACTTAGATCGTGGCTGCTTACATGAGGCTGAGGTACAACGGATCTGTGCATCTCGTGGTGCTGAAGCGCATCCTAGAATAAGTTCAGACCCTGCATCTGAAAATGAGTGTCGCGCGGACACTTGCGCCAAATTGCGCGTTTTAGCCAATTATCTGTTGACCAGGAGGCCCTGAGCTTACACCGGTGGCTGGCCAAATCTCTCAAGCGGTGGAGCCCCCAGGCCCGACGTCATGAAGCCCGACTGGCGTATTCGAAGCGCGCACGAGCATGTTTGACCAGCTGCTGCTTCCAGGGCTTGACCTAGCCTAGCACCTCGCACTGCTCTCAAATGAGCAGGCAAACAACCGCCTCACGTGCCGTTTTCCCGAAGTGGCCTGTGGGCCTGGCATCGCGAGCGGTAGGCAAACTATGGTAAGCTGGTAGGCTTGTTGGAGAGTGCTTCATGTGGGTCATCGTAGTGCTTGTGTCGCTTGTGTGCTAGAAATCTTGGCCGGTCCTGTTGTGACCTTGAGCCGTGAGCTCCATGGTCGAGTTTTTGCTCTGCTGCGCGAAGTGCAGCCTGCATGACTTTCAGTGATCCGGCACTTAGACGAGACAGTAGGCTCCTATGGCCGAAGGCACCATGGATGTCTCGGATGCATCAGCCGCGAGGGAGCAGGAATGTGGCTAAAACACACCCAGCATTGCTGCACGGAGTGGTGTCATTAGCTCCGCAAGCTCGCAGAATTCATGGAGAGCTTCTGTTCTTCATGCGAAAAACTGGCTGCTGTAGGCTGTCGTGCACGTCGCCCTCATTCGCGGCATTGGAGGCTTTGAACAATGTAATGAGGGTGCCGCTTTCAGGAAAGGGGCGCTGTTCCTTGACAAACGCCCATTTCGAGCCTGAACCCTGCCCTCGCAAGGCCTGCCAGAGACGCCTCGGCTGCAGTACCTGGCGGTCAGGCCTCAGCATATTGCCTTGGAACGTGCTGTTGTGCTCGTGATGGGGGGCATGTCGCTTGCATCTGGTTGTGGAAGGTGTAACGACCGTCCGATCGATCTGGTGCCAGCATTCAGCCCAGCGCGTCGCCCTCGGGAGCGACCTCAAGCCTAAACAATCATCCTAAACCCTAAAAAAGCTTAAGTCCGAAGCCCTGAAAGCCCAAAGGCATTCTGAAACCAAGAAGCCGAAGTCCTAAATCCTCAAGGAGCCGGAGGCTGTACTCGTACCCAGGCTCAGGGATGCTGAGGGCTTGGGGGGGGGGTTAAGGGTAATTCAGGGCACCCCTGGAGCCTGAAATCTCAGGCAGTATGTGTACAGCGCAGAGCTGGACTTCGCGGAGCCGGGCTTCGCCGTCGACGCGGTGCCCGCCGAGGCCTGAAAAATCCTTCCGTGGGAGCTTTGGGATGCCTTGGGATGCTTTGGGGGGCTTTGAGCGTTTAGGAGCTTTCGGGTAGCATGAGTAAGTCGCAGCTGCCTTATCTGCAGATATTGCTTGGGTTCGGACGGACAAGTTCAGGCGTGTGGGTGGGCCAGGAGCATCTGTTGATGGACATCGATCGTGAGCCGGGATTCCCACCAGACTGAACCTCAACATTCACAGCAGAGCAAGTCTTGGGCCCAGGGTTGTGGTTTATGGCTTTAGGATGCAGGGTATGGGACTTGCGCATCAACACGCCTGAGCGATTGTCAGCCCCAACGCCCGAAATTCCTTGAAAGCCGAACCCTACATACCGACCCTATAAGCCCCATAAACCCTATAAACCCCGCATCATCGGGCGTCGGACACAGTTTAGCATGTTGCCCTGGAGCCACCAGCCATGTCTCCAGAACCCGATAATTATGAGCCGCTGAGCCCCAAGCTCCCCAACAGTGCGAAGGGGTCTCGCTTTGCCAACGCAGACAAGTTCTCCTCCACCCAGCTGGTGGCTCCAGGCGAGGCACGCGGCCCCCTAAGCCGCCCCCAAATGCCCCTAAACCTCTGAAGATCCCCGGACCCAGGCTGAGGGGTTTAGATGGGCTTTTAGGGTTTCGCTGCACATGTAGGGCTTCCGGCTCAGCGGCCCACGTCTTCCCAAAGGGCGTTGGCAGGCGCCCGGGTCACCAGCAAGCTGGAAGTGGAGGATGTCGACGGCAAGGTGGGGGACGCCTCGAAGCTTCCAGCCTTTGTTTTTTTTGTTTTGTTTTCTCTGTGTTTTTGTTTTTTTGTGGAGATAGTTGGTTTCGGGGTTTAGGGCATCTTCCCGAGCACTGGGCTGTCAGGCGAAGAATGGCTTGGAGTATTCTGTGAGGGTCGTCCGCCTCACAGGAGAGGAGGCGAAAGCCAGCACCTGAAAGCTAAAGTGAAGCTCAGAGGGATTCGGAAGATATTTGGAGTTGAGGGCGACTTTGACTGGAAGCTTCGCCGCCTTGGGGGCAGCCCGGAGTATTCACCTATGAGTTCATTCTGGCTTGGCAGGCTGGTATGTTGGCTGGTTTTGAGTCGTAACTGGGCGGTCTTGAGGGAATATCTTCAACAATAGCTTACCAGCTCGCGATCGGGCACACCCTAACCCCAGATCGAAGCAGCCCTAACCACAGAGCAGTTAGGATTTTGGGGGCGCTTCTTGCGTGCCAGGATTGGCTTCGGTCCCTAAAGCTCCGTGGTGCCGAGATGCAGCCGGCCTTTGAAAAGCTGACAGAGGACCGGGAGTCTCGTCTTCGTTTTCAGGGTAGTGTTGGCGCTCGTTGCAGTTTTCTACTCCTCACATTCCTTAGGCAAGCCCAAGTCTGAATCGTGGGCGGCCCAAAGGCTGCATGCATGCACCCCTCGCCAAATCCATGTGTGGTGGTGATCCGAAGGCTCCCGTCCCGAGACCTCTACTCTACACAGAGCCGAGAACTCTTATGACTCCGAAACTGAGGCTGTTGAATGTTGGTATAGTAACCATTCTGGGGTTTGTGCCCCTAAGGTAAATTGAGAATCGTAGAGACCTTGTTGAGATGTTGCTTCAGGCTTGAGGCAAAGAGGTGTTTGGGTGCGTTTGGTCAGAGCAATAGAATTTGCCGTCGTCTGTTTATCACCTGGAGGAGTATTCCGTGCTGATGCCAGCGGAGCTCGACCGTTCTGCACTCAAAGCGAAGTTTGGTAGCAGGAAGGGGTCAAGGGCTAGGGCGAGACGGCTTGAGGCTCTGAAACCAAGTTGAACCAGAGGAGTCTAGGACAAGCAGGCGTCCAGTTCAAGGGTCATGGCCGTTGCCAAACTTGGCTCCTGTACCCTAAACGTCTCTAAACCTCAAACTTCAAGCCCGCTTCGAACTGCCCCAGCACTCCCAAAGCCCTGCAGCTGCTTTTCGAAAGGCTTCAAAAAGCTTCAAAGCCCTCGATCTCCACTCCTCAGCTGCACCCAAACCTCAAGCCCTAGGTCCCTTGAACTCCCAAAACCCGCCAAATCCCACCACTCCAGGGCTCCACGTAGAGGCGGAGCTCTTGGATTCCGGCCAAAGCCTTGAGGCACACTCGAGGTTCAGGGTTAAGTCAGGGGAGTCCGAGGCAAGAGGGTTTGGAGCTTAGTAAACTTAGAGTCTTCGAGCCCAAGCCCGTGGCGCTAAACGCACACGGTAGACCGCAGCACTCTCACGGGGCCCAAGCGGCCCTCAACCCTCCAACACTCTAAGGCCCCAATCCACGACCCGAAACCATCACACGCCAGGGCCAAAACCCTAAACTATGCCCTTAGCTCTCTGAACAGCTTGGTGCATCAGGCGACTGCCCATCCAGGCCACCAGGACCTTTGCCCGAGCCGGTGGAGTGAGGGTTCGGGCCTTTGAGGGCCTTTGAGGGCCTTTGGGGTCAAGGGATCGAGTGTATGGCAGGGCCATTGTATGGTACTTGGTTGCACTTAATTGTGGGGTTTGAGGGCTTCGGGTTCCGACATGGGGCAGCTTTCAGGGGTTGCTGGCAAGCAAGGGCTGGTGTGAACATGTTTGAACCCAAACTTCTTAATATACTCAGGCTTGTAAGGTCTCCCAGGTGTTGCCAAAGTATCAAAGTGCCCTCAAGTCTGTCAATTTCCGCACTTGTGAGCTTGGCTCCAGGAGCCAAAGTGGCAATTCACCACTGCAGAACCCCTCTGGGATCCGTGGGTTGCCCAGTAGCGTGCTGCGATGTCGTGCGGGTCTTCAGTGCCGAAGTTTTGGGAGTGTCATGAAAGTTTGGGGGGGGGGGGGGGGGGGGGGGGTTCCTTCGAAGAGCCACTCCCAACCGCAAGAACCCCAAGGCCCGCAACACCTGAGGTCTGGAGAGATACGTGAATGGACAGGTTTTCGTGTCTTGCGTTTTTCTGGTTTGGCCCTCGTGGGCCATCTGACCCAGAGCGCACTTCGTAAGGTCATGGGAGGAGAAGCTGCAGAGGTCGGTTACCCAGCCTCATGCGATGTTTGGATATGTCTGGCTTGTCGCAAAGGGTGTAGGACGAGGTTCGGGTTGCACGGGAAGCTGTTGAAGATCCTCAGTTGCTGGGTTGCAGTGACGCTGTGCCGGCAAGGGGCCGAAGGTTTCCGAGAGGCGTTTTGCACCTACCCCCAAGATGTGCAAACGTCATCCATGCTTGTCAGAGGTATTTTGCCTCAAGCTTTTTGTCACGGATGTGAGGCTCATCACTTTCCGAAAAAGCTGGTTGTGAAGCTCTGCGGGAATTCCATGCGTGGGGAATGAAGCAATATCATAATCACTTCCTGACGCCGCTCATGTCAGGTACCGTTTACGAACCCTTCTTGTTTCGGTGAAGACGAAATTTCGTTGCACAACCCGATTTCGCCAGACACATCATCAAGATGATTTGAATCGTTTGTGGGCTTCTTTGCATCTCACCGGCTGGCCGTGCAAAGCTCACGAAGGGCCTATGGCGGTGTTCATGTCTCAGCTGCCAGAACTTGGACGAATTCTTCAAGGAAAAGGACATTTGCAATGCTAAATGGGCGGACTGTTCCACACTGGCAGAATACAATGGGGCAATTTGGTCATTCCTGGGAGGCCTGTTTGGTGATGCACGATACCGTCAAGCTCTCACTGGCCAACTCACAATGGCCTAGGCCTAGTCATGCAGATCCAGTTCTGGAGGGATTTATGAAGCAGGTTCATTTGGCAGGATTGTCTGCCGGCATAGAAAACACCTTGTCAGATCAGGGAACGCTGAAAATTGTACGAGCTGTGGTGATAAGGATGACACTTTATCGGATAGAAACTGGGACGATTTGCAATGCATGCCTGACCATGTGCCTGCTGCAGGTTTGTTTCCTCCATTGCAATCACAAGAAGATTTCCTGGCTTTGTTCGAACAGATGCCTTTGCATGTTATCCGATCATCTTCGCTGGAAGGACACAGACACCTTCACAGATGGCAGGCGGCAAACACAACGAGCACCCAGGTTCTCTTTTTGCTGGCTGGGCGGTCACAAACGCCGCTGAACACTCAAAACAACATGTTCCTCGGGAGTTTTCGGTCCTCTCTGTGGCCGTCGACAAACTGTGTATAGGGCTGAGTTGATGGCTGTCATCAGGGCTGCCAAGCTGGCTGAATCTTGCCTGGCCGTGTTTAGAGGCGTGGTTGGCTTGCAGCCATTGGAAATCCTGGATACACCACGAAGACCGTGATCTCTGGTTTGAGCCATGGAGGCTAATAGGCAAGCGTTCGCCTGAATCTTTTCACGTACGCTGGGTCAAAGCCCACAGAAAGCTCTGAGATGCTACCGGATTTCATGACCTCTGGTGCATTTGGCATAATAGTATTTCTGATTCTTGGGCGTCGTTTACAGCGGATTCATTTCCAGCTGTTGCAATGGTGCAAGCTTCTTTCAGAGCTTCCATTCGATCACAGCGGCTATTCGCTCAACTTCCAGCAAACTCATGAGGATCCCCTTTGGGATTTTATGAAGGTTGTTGACTGTTTCTATTGTTATCATTACATCTTTGAATGCTCCCTCAATTAAGGGTTGGGGCTGTGTCACGAGTGATCTGGAGCAGTCCTCATTGCCAATCGCATGCGCGACGCCGTTTCTCCCCCCCAGCACAAGCCTGTAAGCCCTGAACTCCAAATCAGCCTCCGCCGAACCTCTAAACGCCGAAAGCCTATTCGCCATGTAAAGCCGTAAAGCCCTGAGCCCGAGGCCGGAGCCGAGCGACGGCAGCGGCCTGGAGCCGAGAACCGAGGTGCCGAGCCGAATTTAAATTTCCAGCGTTTCTGGAGCTCCTGGGATGGGAGGCGGTGCCAAGCATGTTACCCTAACCCTAAACTTGTAGACTGTTCCCCATGGCAGGTTGTTGACAAAGATGCTCTCAACGACAAGGTGTGGCGCCTTGTGCTGCTACATTTCCGGCTTTCGCGTGTGGGGCAAAGGATGGTCGGTGCTCAGGCCCGCTTTCTTGTCCTGGGCTCTGTGGGAAGATTTACAGAATCTATAGAGTGTAGATTCACTGCATGATTTGCTTCACTGCTCTCAGGGTCGCCGCCTGTCGGAAGCTGAGCCAAACGCTTTTGTTGCTGTCAGGCGGGCTTCCGGTTGCTGACTTTGTGCCAGCCTTTTCGCGGAGGGCTTTCGGGCATTATCTGCAGGAGGAGTCGGCTCGGCAATCTAAGTTTAAGCCCAGCGCCGCAAAGCGGCATCCAAGGTTGGCATCGGGGGAAGCCCAGCACAGCGTGGTGCGAAGGCAGTTCGCCATGGATGATCCCAATGATGCCTGAGTGTCTGTGGTGCTGCTGAGGCTGCAGCATGAACCACTGCTACAGATGCTGCTGCTATCTTGATAGTGGCACCGGCAGTTCCGTGATATGTGACGGCATCTCAAAAGATGCAGGTCATTCCCTGTGGAGGCGCGCTTTCTTCAGTTGAAAACTTCCGGGCTAGAGGAAAGCTCCACGGTTTTTTTGATTGGCTTTGTTGTTGGCCTTTGAGAGATTGGGATGTTGGGGTTTCGGAGTTTGCTAGGGTTCGAACAGTGGCCATTCTGCCCAGTAACCTCACGTCTTAGCAAGGTGAATGGATCGCGCCTGATCCAGCTCCGGGTGTTTGCCGCCAACCACAATGCGACACTCCACCGAACGCGCGCTCTCGGGATGTTTGGAAGGGCTCCATTCCCCCTTAGCTGCGAACATTTGGAGAGTCTACTCTGGGAGTTGCCGGTTCGATGGCGCTCTTGGCCAAGCCACAAGACAGGCAAGCCGTGTTCTGCAAAATGTGGAGACTATCTTCCCATGCCCTCGTAGGTATCGCTTGCAAGCATTCCGCGCACCATGCCCACCGGAAAGGCGCGTGCGGCTGCGTGCCTCCTTGTGAAAGTGCATTGGAAGGGTTGG